TATATATAATGTTGATTCTTCAAGTCATTATTTCGAATCACATAATTATATATAATGTTGCTTCTTCAAGTCATTATTTCGAATCACATAATTATATATAATGTTGCTTCTTCAAGTCATTATTTCGAATCGCATAATTATATATAATGTTGCTTCTTCAAGTCATTATTTCGAATCGCATAATTATATATAATGTTGCTTCTTCTAAACTAGGCGTTGAATAAGATGTGTTCGAAACAGATGTATTCAAAACAGAGTAAAAACCTAAAACCACCTAAAAACACTATCATAGTAATGAATCAGGTGAAGTTGGTGTAAAGCAAAATTTACGCGAATTTTAAGCACTTCATGTGCGGGTGAGAGCGCCTGTCCTCTTACTTCAAATGTACATAATTTCATTATCTTGAATTATTTCAGTTCGCATATATATATAATTTCAAAAATTCAATTAGAAACTCATGCAACTTATTCAAAAAATGCAATCAAACATTATACAAAGCAAGTCAGGACATTAAACATTTTTATCGTATGATAATTTTCAAAATGTAAGTAACGTTTCATTTCCGATCGTCTTTAAAGTAAGTGCCCGACTTTGAGAGCGACACCTAGTGTGCAACTTGAGTAAGGTATTACACCACAAATTGATTGTACAACCACCACTCAGCTTATGATGAGATGCAAACAAGAGTGGAAGAGGTTGATCGACCCACTATGAAAACGTTTGTAAATGAACCCTATATTTAGCTGGTTCACGTGATTTTTCGTATTGCTTTTTTATGAAACGTTTTAAATAAAATTACGTTTTATCGTTAGCTTAAAGCTCTAATGATCTTACAAGCACTGCTACTTTCACATAATATCAATGATTATTTGAGTTACTAATTTATTAATAAACATGATAATGATTTTAATAATTAAGTTGATTATTCGATGACGAGGAACCCACTTTGAGACTAATAACGCTTGGAGAGGTCTCCAAGCATTAGTTGATTATTATCTGTTCTTCCAGAATAAAGAATGCCGTGGCGCCCCCTCTAGTCTACATTTAGCACTACACCACTGATTTACCTAATCAATGTTATTTCGATACAAACCAACGGGCATTTAATCAGAAGAATTTTTCTATTAAAATAATTTTGTTAAGTCAGTATAGTATTTTAAATGGAAATTTTCCAGCAATAACATAGAACAGATTGATAATCTTTTCCAGCAATAACATAGAACAGATTGATAAACTTTTCCAGCAATAACATAGAACAGATTGATAATCCGATAAACAATGGTTGTGTGTTAGTACATTTACAAAAAAAGTCCAAATAACTTGAAGGACATCTTATGGAAAATCATAAGATCCAGTCACGCTTTGACGACAGAAATATGGATGTTACCGTGACAACTAAGAGGGGATTGTTTCCATAGCAACTGTAATGGTATATTACAATTTGACAATGTCACACGTTATCGAACCAGAAAATAGCAAAACCTGTTTACTTACCGAGACCGTCACATCGTCGTATCTAATAAACGTCCGATCTGGTTGAACTAACTAAAAAAAAATAGAATTTTTTATTTTTCTTCTCAGTATTCCCTTGCATGATCTTACAAACAAACAATTTGTTCACTGAGCATGTGCAGTAATGTTTTATTGCAAGTGATGAATACGTTCGACGAGAACATTAAAAATGTATTTTTATCTAATTAATATTAACAAAACAAAACTTGCTACTTTAGACCTGTAGAATTTGAATTATTTTAAAACTGAATGACCTAGCTTACAATATTAAAATAAACTTCTATAAATACTTGTATAAAATAAAACATTAATTTGTATGAAAATCGTTTATATTAACTTTTTAACAGCAAGAAATGAATGGATTGTAAAGATGATTAGAAAAATGGAAGTAATTTATACTTTTATTTATTTATTTCTAATATTCTAGTTCGTTCATAATTGTCCCTCAGTGGCACAGCGGTATGTCTGCGGACTTACCACGCTAGAATCCGGGTTCCGATACCCGTGGTGGACAGAGCACGGGTAGACCATTGTGTAGCTTTGTGCTTAATTACAAACAAACAAACAATCATCCACATCTGATCAGCGACCAATAACCAACCAGTAGTGACATTTCTCAGTCGAGTCCGCCACCCGTGGGTCAGCGGTATGTCTGCGGACTTACGACACTAGAATCCGGGTTTCGATACCCGTGATGGGCAGAGCACAGATAGCCCATTGTGTAGCTTTGTGCTTAGTTACAAACAAACAAACAATCGTCCATAATTGATCAGTG